ACTTAGGAATAGTTTTTTTGTCTATTTTTCGAATGGACAAATTAGTAGAAACTGTTTATTTAATTTATGTTTTAAAATGTAGTTAAAGTAATTAAAGGGTTAGTTCACCCAAAAATGAAAAGTCTGTCATTAATTACTCTCATATTTAATCAAAAATATCTTAATTTGTGTTCCGAAGATGAACGAAGGTCTTACGGGTTTGGAACGACATGAGGGTGAGTAATTAATGACAGAGTTTTCAATTTGGGGTGAACTAACCTTTTAAACAATAAATCAATAAATACTACATTGTTTTTTAAAAACATACTCACTTCAGTACTGTACTTTTTATTTAAATGTATACTTCATTATTTATTTAAATCTAATTGTATTATTTATTTATTTAATATTTCAAAATAAATAAATAATTATATACAATATATTTATATTTATTTATTTAAATATTATTTTATTATTTATTTATATATATATATATATATACATTATTATAAAATAAAAATATAATAATTATATATATATTTATATTATTTAATTATTTATTTTATATATAATAATACATATTACTTTATTTAATGTGTATAGTATAGAACATTATTTATATATAATTATAAATATGTATTTTATTTGAATCTTTATGTTAGTTATTTATTATTTATAATAAAATTATTTATTTATTTTTCTAATTTTTGTAGTTGTTGTAGTTTTATTTAGCTACATTTTAAAACATTAAATATACAGTTTTTTAAAAATGTATACCTATTAATTTGTTCATTTAAAAAGTTATTTATTTCCGTTTTTATGTTTGAATGATTAAATTACTAACTTTTTCCTGTAAGTGTCACTCCATACTCCACGCGATGCACGGCTACAATCAAAATGTATTTGCAAACAAGCTGAAATTGCATTACAGATGAATCATATCTGGAAGTTGCAGACATAGAAAATCCAGCTTAAAGGTTGTTTTCAGTGTTTCAGTGAGTTGTTAAACCATCTGACAAATTCAGCCTGATTCATCCGATTCGGTTTATTCTTTCTGACTCAAAAGAACGATTCACAAATCTTGCATCACTAGGTCAAAGTTTATCCGTCAGCGTCGTCGTATGAGCTGCGTTTGCTCTGATAGAGACCTGTGAAACACCACCAACAACAGGCCTTTAGCGGTGTTTGTGTAACTCAGGCCACATGCAGGAGAACTCTTCAGTGCCTCCTCTGAGATGTTTGCTCTGGTTCAGGATCACACGCGTGTGGGGGCCGACACGTCTCAGGACATCCAGCTGTTCGGCATCGGGATCCAGTCTGAACACTGTGTGCTGGAAGTCACGTCTGACGGAGACGTCACGCTCACGCCGGCAGACAACGCCAGGTAACACAAACCTGTGTCGTTTATTAGCATGAAAAGAAATAATATCATTTACAGTTAAACCAATGTATGCATGAATGAAACGGAAACAATAATAATGACATAAAAAATACAATACGTTGTAAAGTTTCAGGTGAAAGAAAAAAAAAACATTAAAATAATAATAATGTTTTTCAAACCTTTTTTGATATATATTAATGTATTATATATATATCTTTGTGTTTAATATCTATGGATGTTTAATAAACGTTTACATTACATAAAGCTTTGCAAGTGACATAATTCACATTACACACTTATAATTCTAAATAATTATCATTAAGGTAATAAGTATCATTAATATTCTATTTTAGGATTTATTCATATTTTATTCTTACATTTTGTGTTTACATTTTAGTTAGTTTTAGTAAACTTGTTTTTTTGTCATTTTTTAAAATATTTTTCAAATATATATAAACTAGACTATATAATTCTTCAATTATATAATTAAAATAATTAAAAATAATTTTAAACTAAACTAATTTAATAATTTGAGTACTTTAGTAATTAGTAAAAATTGGAAATGTTGGCAACTAACTTAAAAATAACAAGTTTTTTGTATTTTATTTTTATTTCAATTATTGTAAATGTTTTTGTTTTAGTTAATGATAACAACACTGATAATTCTGAATATCTCTGAATATAAAAATATATGTTTACCTATTATCTTTATTTATATTTATATCATCTTTATGAATTTTTAGTACTTCAAGTTAAGACTGAGAAACTAACTTTACAATAATATGTTTTTATATTTTATTTAAGTTGTTGTAAATGTTTTTAGTTTTAGTTAACAATATCTTTATTCGATTTTATTTCAGTTTTATTAATTTTAGTACTTCAACTTAAACTAAATAAAAATGAGAAATGTTGCCTTGGCAACTAACAAAAAAAATAATACGTTTTATTTCAGTTATTGTAATTTTTTTTATTTTAAATGTCGCAAGTTTAAAATATATAGTATTTTAGATGCAGTTCTTGTGTCTGATTTGTGTAAGATATTGTAATCCTGTGCTGTTTGACGGTCGCAGGACGTGTGTGAACGGGACGATGGTTTACTCCAGGGTTCAGCTGTGGCACGGAGATCGCATTCTGTGGGGAAACAACCACTTCTTCAGGTGAGCTGCAGGTCGACATGCGCAGCGTCTCGTCTCGTCTCGAGCTCAGACTCATCCGAGCGAATGTCGTCCTCAGAATCAATCTGCCCAAGCACAAGCGGCGCGAGCGACTGAAGGAGCCGGAGCGAGACTCTCCTCGCCAAAGCTTGTCCGAGGCCGACGCGGAGACGGCGAGCCAGGCCTCGTCCGAACAGGACTACAGCTACGAGTTCGCACAGATGGAGGTCGTGATGAAAGCGCTGGGGAGCAACGGTACACGCCTGACCTCTGACCTCTGACACCACACTGCATGATAGAGCCTTCACTGCACAATACACATAACAGCACACGTCGCAGAGCTTAATGTGCTGAGGTGCTTCTCAGTATCATTATATGGAATATAATAGGGATGCACCGATATGAAAATTTTGGCCGATACCGATAACCGATTATTCTTTATTTTTGAAAGCCGATAACCGATATGTTGGCCGATAAATCTATATCCAAATTGTTATATACTTTTTGAGAGCCTGATTACAAAAAAGGTCTCATCATTAAAAGCCACATCCCAAACACTTCAACATAAGCAGCCTAGTTTGAACGGTGTACGTTTTAAAAATATTTTTACTCTCCCATTACCAAATTTAGTCATAAAAAAGCCTTACAAATAAATAAAATTATGCATAAATAATGCAAACAAGTCACTGGACATCATTACACGTGTAAAGAATCAAAATGAATGCGCCATAGATCAATAAAACGGAATAGCCTCTGCACGGACAATAATTAAATGATTTTAATTACTAAACCATATTGTTGATGAAAATAATAAGAGAAAAATACAAGTGGTTGTTGTTATTAATAATGTATCGATGATTTTGAAAAAGTAACAAATTAATACCACTGTTTTAAATAGCAGCCGTTGAGCTGCGCGTGCTGAAGCTGAAGAGCTGAATGAACATGGTAAACTGAAGCGTTTTGCTGGCAGCTTATTTAATTCAAGGAAATGCATCCTGAGATTAATATTAATACAACATAAACATAATATTACAACTTATATATGTACAAAATTATGCAGTTATTGCGTGCTATAGTCAGAATGTGTGATCCTGTTGTGGATGCGCTCTTCCCATAACAACGCGCTGAAACACGGCAACTAAACCCAAAGAATTCACAACGTTTTATTATTATAATGTTCTCATTAGAATGTTATATACACGACATTCCCAATCATAGTTATTAATGTTGTGCACTGCTGTTTGGGCTGCGTGTGCTGAGCTAAAGATGATCACTGGTAAACTGAAGCGCTCTTTTAACTTAACCAAACGTATTCTATATGAGATAAATCAGATATACATCAAATAAACACAATATTACAATGTACAATTGCACAAAAGGCTGCAAACGAACAGCGCGCATCTGAAGTGTCTCTGAAGGAAATAATGCATTATTTATCGGCTTTAAGATATCGGCCAAATTTTCTTATCAGGCCGATACCGATAACAGAAAAAATGAGCCGATATGGGCCGATACCGATATGGTGGCCGATATATCGTGCATCCCTAGAATATAATGCATTACATTGCTATCATTATATGGAATATAATTTTGCATTTCGTGAAATGTTATCTTGTTATAAAGATGTTTACATAACAAGAAAACTAGATGAATGGAAAATGATGTAACGCTGCTACATAAACACTTTAAAAGTGTTTCTCTTCTAGAGAAAATCAGCCATTAGCAGTGCTATTTTATGTTTTTTAATGATATTATTTATTCATATTTTGAATGAGCTTTTACTTTGGATATTTGTAGGATTTATTTTCATTTTTAGTAATTTTGTTATATGCTTTATATGGTTTTGTCATTTTATTTAATTTTTTTTCAATATATCTTTAATTATATTTTGAGCTTTTACTTTGTTTTTACAATTTCTATTTTAATTTTACATTTACATATGTGACCCTGCAGCACAAAAGCAGTGTTAAGTCGCTGGGGGATATTTGTAGCAATAGCCAACAATACATTGTATGGGTCACAATTATACATTTCTCTTTAATGCCAAAAATCATTAGGATATTAAGTAAAGATCATGTTCCATGAAGATATTTAGTAAATTTCCTACCGTAAATATATCAAAACTTAATTTTTGATTAGTAATATGCATTGCTAAGAACTTCATTTGGACAACTTTAAAGATGATTTTCTCAATATTTAGATTTTTTTGCACCCTCAGATTCCAGATTTTCAAATATTGTCCGATCCTAACAAACCATACATCAATGGAAAGCTTACTTATTCAGCTTTCTGATGATATATAAATCTCAATTTCGAAAAATTGACCATTGATTATGACTGGTTTTGTGCTCCAGGGTCACATTTATTAATTTTGCAGACGCTTTTATCCAAAGAGACTTACAAATGGGGAATACATAAAGCGATTCATCTTAAAGAGGCAAACAGACACAGGGAGTGCTCGGAATACCAAGTTTCAAGAATTGTTCAAATAAGAACAAGCTAGACAAGGAAGGATTAAAGAAAAGATAATTTTTTTAGCGTAAGTTTTAGTAATTTCGTTTTTTGAATATTGCTTTTGGATTAATTTTTATTCCAGATTTAGGTTTTTATTTGGTTTTTTGTTTTTACTTTTCATTTCAGTGTCTTTTAGACATACATTTTACGTCTAATATTTATATTTTATTTTATTTCAGCTTTATTTCAATGAACATTAGCACAACATTATGTCGTGATGTATTTTAGTTTTAGTTGTATTATAGCGTTCTAGACGCGTCTCCTCGTCTCAGACCCCATGCAGAAGGCGGTGCATGCTCTGGAGAAGCAGTATGTGGAGGAGAAGCGTCTGGCGCTGGAGGAGCAGCGGCTGATGTACGAGCGCGAGCTCCAGTCTCTGCGGCAGCAGCTCTCGCCGGAGAAAGCGTCTCAGCACCAGCGCTGCAGCAGCTTCCCCACACACACCACACACACCAAACTGCGTCTGTGGAGCGACGAGAGGTCAGAACACACACACACCAGCCTGCTCATCTCTAACACACATTAACTATTTAGTGTTTTTTTGCAGTGCATTAAAGGAGACATATTATGCCCCTTTTTACAATATGTAATATAAGTCTCAGGTGTCCCCAGAATGTGTCTGTGAAGTTTCAGCTCAAAATACTCCACAGATCATTTATTACATCATTTTGAAAATGCCTATTTTGAGTGGAAGCAGAAACACGCTGTTTTTCGGGCCTGTCTCTTTAAATGCAAATGAGCTGCTGCTCCCTGCCCCCTTTTCCAGAATAGAGCTGCGCCATTACACCTTGTACCTGCTAAAAACATCTGTTTTGGTTCTGATTATCATGTTTATCGTGCTGAAATCATGCTTTTAAAGCGTATTAGTTTAAACTTCTGATATAGGGTTTTCTGAGTGCACACGCACAGAAAGCGGCTGTCACAGCATGTGAGCACTAAACTAAGTTCTCATTCACACAAGTTTATGTTAAAAACACACATGAGTTACAAAAACAGTGGGTTATGCCTGTGAAGGTAAACAACTGGGAAAGAAATTGCATGTTTATTTTAGAACGGAATAGTGTTCTGTGCTCGTCTGTGCAGACAAACACAGAACAGTTAGCATGTTTTGCTCAAACTTTCGCAGTGGCATTAGAACTAGTACACCGTTGTCACTTGTGAAAACATAATAACGGCGCCGTCTGTGGAAACTTACAGATTAAGGGGTGGTAATATTATAATGAGATCCCTTTGCAATGTCACTAGGGGAGCGAAATCAGACGCACTCGTTTTTTTCAGACGCTTGCAGAAAAAGGCTTGAAACATGTGTGTATTTCAGGGACGAGCTGTTCCGTCAGAGTCTGTCTCGGCTGCGTGAGCAGGTGGTCCGAGCGAACGCTCTGGTGCGAGAGGCTAACTTTCTGTCCGAGGAGATGCACAAACTCACCGACTATCAGGTCACGCTGCAGATCCCAGCCGCCAACCTCAGCGCCAACCGCAAGGTGAGAAACACGCATTCATTCAGCAGACGCTTTTATCCAGTCATCAGATCCAACAATACAGAGACCCAAGTATAAACTAGATTAGTCTACAAGCTAGAACAGAAGTGGTTTTTGCGCGTGTATTTATTTACTTCTTCATTTGTCACTTATTAATCAACCTATATTTATTAGATATCTATATTTTTTAATCATTATTTATTTACTAATTTATTCATTAGTTCATTTCTTTGTGTACTCATTTATTTATCTATTTATTAATTTACTTCTTTATGATTTATGTACTCATTTATTTATTGATTTATTCTTTCATATTTGTTAGCTAATTTATTGACTTATTCATCCATTTGCTTGATTAATTGTTTATCTATTTATATAGGTATTCCTTTGTTATTTATTCATTTAATCATTACTTATTTATTCACTAATTTCTTTATCTATTTACATATGTATTTATTTCATGTATTTGTTTTAGTTATTTTTTTTGTTTGTTTATGTATTTGCTCATTTATTTATTTATTGACTTATTCATTCATTAGTTTTTTTACTTGTTTTATCTATTTATTCCTTTGTTTATTTATTCATTATAAATGTACTTGCTCATTTATTTATTTATATGTATCATTTATTTGTTTGTTTGCTTATTCATTTACTCATTTATTTAATTATTCACAGGAATAGGAGTTACATTAAGTGCTTTCATTTTTGGTTGTGCATTAGGTGTTTTCACCTAATTTGTAGTTGACTAACAGCAGTCTAGTTATTTTAAATCAAATTTATAATGCTTTTATCATCATTATGCGTGCAGTTTTATGACCTCAAATTAATTGAACGACAACATGGATTAAAAATGATGCAAAAACAGTTTGACCACCTAAAAACATACATTTGCATTTATGCATTTGGCAGACGATTTTATCCAAAGCGACTCGCATTGCATTTATGCATTCATGCTTTGCTTGTTGAAAATGTGATTCTATAAATGCAAACCTTAAGTTCAGTTGATGGTCACTGTATTATGTTTCCTCTGTAATATTACATTGCTGTAATTATCTTAATCCCAGCGTGGCACTATAGTCAGTGAACCGGCCATCCAGGTGCGACGCAAAATGAAGGGAACGCAGGTGTGGACCATCGAGAAACTAGAGAACAAACTAGTGGACATGAGAGACGATTACAGAGACTGGAGGGAAGGAACACAGGAGGTGGTGAGTGAAAGAAAACAATGCTTTTATTCAGCAAGGATGCATTAAACTGATCAAAAGTGACAGTAAAGACATTTATAACATTACAATATATTTCTGTTTCTAATAAATGCTGTTCTTTTGAACTTTCTGTTCATCAAAGAATCAGAAATGTTTCTCGAGCAGCAGATCAGCATATTATACTGATTTCTGAAGATCATGTGACACTGAAGACTGGAGGAATGATGCTGAACATACAGCTGCGCATCACAGAAATACATTACAGTTTACAATATATTCACATAGAAAAGAGTTATTTTAAATTGTAATAATATTTTACAATTTTCTTTTTGATCAAATAAATTCAGCCTTATTTATTTATATGTTTAGTTATTTACTAGTTATTTATTCACCCACTTAGTTTTTTTTACTTATTTACTAATTTACTTGTTTATTTATATACTCAGTTTTATTTGTTTGTTTATTTACTCATTTATTTTTTTTACTTTTTTTAATCATTTATTTACTTATTTTATTTGTTTGTTTATTTATTTATATGTTTGTTTATTTACTCATGTTTTCACACATTTATTTCTTTATTTACTTGTTTATGCATTTGTTTGTTTATTTATATATATAAATATATATACTCATTTATGTTTGTTTTTTACTTATTTATTATTTTATTTATCTATTTACTCATTTATTTGTTTGTTTATTTACTCGTTTCTTTGGTTATTTTCCTGACCTTGTCGGCAGATGTTTGTTCTTGTTTTGATCATAAACTCACTTCAGTTTGATGAATTTCTTTGTGTCTCCTTCCATTTTCTTTACTTGGTCTTAGAAAGGTCTAAAAACGTCTCAAATGTGCTCTGTTTTGGTTGATTTGTTTGTGTTTTCCTGTGTTTCTCGCAGGTGAACCGGCTGCACAGTAAGGCGGGCGATCCGTTCTATGAAGCGCAGGAGAATCACAATCTCATCGGCGTGGCAAATGTCTTCCTGGAGTGTCTGTTTCATGACGTGAAGCTGCAGTACGCTGTTCCCATCATCAGCCAGCAGGGGGAGGTGAGCTGCCGTCTGTGTGGTAAACAGGCTGTTATGGTGTGTTCACACCATAGACTGTATAAAAGCATGCACGTAGTGTCCGTGACGTCACCCGTAGGTTTCTGAAAAGCGTTTTTGAAGCTCAAAGTGGGCGGAGCTGGCCGTCGCCATCTTGGCAGCGCGTCACTCCCGGAAAATCGAAAATGGGCAAAGAGGCGGGAGCAGGTTGCTGAAACCACGCCCACCTAGCTCGACGGTGGTGACAGCAGCGGCAATCCACCTGTCACTCAAGTGGCCACGCCCTTAATTATGCAGAACTTTAAGGCTTAATATAATTTAAACGGATGACTTATAAAAAAAATTCACCCCCCTCACAGTTGTCATGAGGGGCAAAATTAGCTATATAGACCAAAATAATTTTTTGAACCAGGCTGTAAACATGTTTTTTTCTGCTGTAAAGTTGGGCATTTTAACATGGGGAGTCTATGGGATTGACTCCCTTTTGCAGCCCGCCTCTAGCGGCCAGTTGATGAATTACAGCTTAAGTCACTTCCGTGTTGGCTTCACGAGAGAGAGCGGGAGGTTGCCGCTTGGTTCACACCAAATGCGAAGCGAATATGCGCATCGTGTCACTCGCTCTAGATTACGGATGGCCGATACCACTTATTTTGTTTTCGATACGATACCGATACTTTTAAAGGCTAGTATCGGCGATACCGATACTTCTAAACGAAACTTTTAAATGATGAAATTTATTACAAATTATTAAATTGCCAAAGTCACGTGATTTCAGTAAACGAGGCTTTGTTACGTCATAACTGTTTCGAAATGTCAATGGTTCATGCAAGCGGCGAACCATTGAACCAGCGCCTATGGTTTTTACCTGATCTCGGTTCAGTTATATCAATATGTAGATTTTAACGAGACATTTGTGTAATTAAAAGGATTAGAAGTAGTTAATAGTCTCTTTCTGGCCTCTATATACAAGCTCTCCATAAAACAAATCAAAACAAGCCTTGCAAATTAATATAAAATATTTTAAAAGCCACATATTATACAGGCACTTCATATTTAATGTTATTTTATAATTTTTAATAAAACATTTGCAATGGTTTTTTTTTGTGTGTGTGTGTGTGGGGGGGGGGGCTTGCGAATGCGAATCATGCGAATTTTCCGCTCGAGTTGAGAACTTGCGCGGAAGAAGCGATTCATTTCTTATTTACTTGGTTCCACAGTGTTTGCTGATTTATACTTTATTTAAACATTGTGTCATTTATTTATTTTATTTGACATCAAGGTGTATGCCATTCCTCCGAGCTTCTTATTCGTTTTGCTAATAAACGTTCTGTTTCTTATTTATTTGGTTTCACAGTGTTTGCTGATTTTCAGTTTTCTATACCTATTAAATTTTGTGTAAGTTATTTGTTATTTTATATTAGGCATAGCCTATAGCATGGTGTATTTTTATTCATTTTATTAATAAAAGTTATCTGATTTATATACACTACCAATCAAAAGTTTGGAATCAGAATGATTTTTTATGTTTTTTACAGGAGTCTCTTCTGCTCATCAAGGCTGCATTTATTTGATCAAAAATACAGGAAAAAATTTAATATTGTGAAATATTATTATGATGTAAAATAACGTTTTTCTATTTTAATATACATTAAAACACAATTTATTTCTGTGATCAAAGCTGAATTTTCAGCATCATTCCTCCAGTCTTCAGTGTCACATGATTAACATTGTCATGTACATTACCATGCCAATCCCTTCGAGAGTTGTCATGACAGAAATTCAATTAGATTTGTGTTTGGTGTGAACTCACCATTGGAGGCGCCTCTCGTCTCGATCTCTGTTGGCAGGTGGCAGGTCGTCTGCAGGTGGAGCTGCTGCGTGTGAGCGGCGTCGTTCCCGAGCGATTGGCCGGAGGAGACGATTCCTCCGAGAACTCCAGCCAGAGCAGCGGATACGAGGTCATGGACAACAATGGAGAGATCGTCCACATGGCCAGAAAACTCACCTGCAGGGTAAAACACAATCTCTTCTCTGCATGTCATCTGAGTTTGGGTCACTTATAACACGCATTTGAGAACGACAGCTTGCACCGACCATCTTAATGAACTTTTGAGATGCTGTTGTCGATAAAAGAGAATGCCTCCTTGCATTTTCCACCAAAATAAAAGCTTCATGGTTTAATGTTTGAAAATAAAAAGAGTTAAGATGGCCTTGAATAGTAGTACTGTCATTTTATAATTGTACTGTAAAAGAAATTATTATTATTGTATTATTTTTCTTAAATGCTTAATTTTTACAGGAAAATATTACAATAGCAGTTTTTCTTATTTTAATATGTGTATATAATAAATATGTATAATTAATAATTGATAATAATTTGTTATTAATTAATTAATAGATATATTGATTAAGAATATATTTTTATATGAATTAATAATCAATATTTCATGTGATATTGTAAAATTTTAATTTAATAATTTTTTATTTATTTATTTTTGTTTAATTTCACACACACACACACATATACAAAATTATTAATACAAATTTATGATACAAACAAATACAGCAAACCTGGAGGGTTTTTTAATCATATTTTTACGGTAAAATTATTATTTTTATTATTACTTTTATATTACTTTTCTTAAATACTTATTTTCTTAAAAAATATATATTTTTTATGAATATGTTTATTATATATAAATATATGTATTTATTTACAGATATGTTAATTAGTGATTTATTTATATTTATTAATAATTTCACATTTAAAAAATATTTTAATTTAATTAATTTATGCAGCACTTCAGACAAACACAGCAAACCTGGAGTTTTTTTTAAATCACATTTTTTATCAGAAAAAAATCTTTCAGCCCTTGCTATATATTTACTAATGTTTTTATGACATGCAAATTTAAACATTTGTTTGTTTTTGGTTAATTGAACATTGTTAGTGCAAATCATTCTGATTTAAATATCACCAAGGAAAGCATCACTTAGATTGGGTTGAAAATAATAAACTAATCACTAATGTTACTCTTTGTGTAACAGTGAATTTATTTAAGTTTTAATGAAAATAATTACTTTTGCATATACAAAAATATGATCATATTTGGGTTGAAACAGTAAAAATCTGATCTGCTGGTCGTATCAGAAATAGTATGAGAAGTGTTTAGTATTGTGGTAAACACTCACTGCAGCGCTTGCGTTGTATCTCGTGTCAGGTGCGGATCAGAGAGGCGTCTGGTCTTCCTCACAACCTCTCCAACTTCGTCTTCTGTCAGTACACCTTCTGGGAACAATCAGAGCCCGCTGTGGCTCCGCCCATCGTCAGCCCGGACACGCCCCCCTCACAGACGGCCGACGCCCACTTCACTGTGCGCTTTGATCACTGCAGGGTAAAAACATTCTCTAGAGTACCTGTGTTGTCTTAGTATCAATGAGATACTATTTGCTTTTTATAGTTTGGATTTTCTGTTTTATGTCAGTAACTGTATTTTTTATGTTTTTAGTTTTAGTTAATGACAATAATCCTAGTGGAACATAAGCAGTTTGCCACACTGCTTACAATACTCATAGTGTACAATGCCAGAAAGCTAAGAAACAAGATACAACGGAAGTGAAATGCAATAAAGATGGAGAATTTTTGTTGTTGATTTTTTTTTTTTTATTATTTTAAAATATTTATTATTTATTTTATTGTTATTATTACTAGTGCTTATGTTTTATTTCCTATTATATTTCCTATTTATTTTTATTGTATTTACTTTTTATTAATTAATTTATCTATGTACTTGCTTACTATTTATCTATCTGTTTACTAGTGCTCCTAGAGATGGCATAAGAACGGAAATGTATTTGTTATTTCTTATTTGCTATTATTAATTCTTCTTCTTCTTTGTTTTTATTTATTATTATGATTATTATTAATAATAAATAACAAATTAGTTATAAATAGGAATGTTTTTATCAAATGTCATAATGGAAGATTTAATATAACAGCTATTGTTATTACTGTTGTTATTTTTTGTTTATTTACTTTTGATAATATTGTATACAACTCATTGAAATATGATTATCTTAAATGTTGTTACTCGTGAGTTTGCCGTGAGTGTGCTGATATGATATTAAATGATAAATAAATCAATCTGCTTTCGTTGCGTTTCTGTGGGCAGGATTTCCTGGTGCATGTGACGGAGGAGTTTCTGGAGTTCATCTCAGACGGCGCTCTGGCCATCGAGGTCTGGGGCCACCGGTACGCTGGGAACGGCCGGTCTGTGCGGGAGCTGGATGCACTGCAGGCCAAGAGGCGCACGCTCAGAGACAGGTGCGTTTCCTCGCACTAGGGCTGTCGATTTTGCAAAAAATTAAAATCTCGATTTTTCCAGATCGTTTGACCGATTCTCGATTTTTTACGATTTTTAACTTGAAAATGTAACTACAACATGATTCAAGTAACTTTTTCTTTATTAACCCTCTAGTTAAAGATAATTCTATTCCAAGCGCACCACACATGAAGTTGTCAACATGATGTAAATGTTAAACAAATCACTTGTTAAATATCTTTGCAGAAAAGATGCATGAACCACAACTGCATTTTGTACAAACTTGTCGTATACATAAAATGTGTTCAGAAATAATATGAGGAAAATGCTTTTAAAAAATGTCAAAAGTCAAGGTAATTCAAATTCTAAGTGACTGAAGGTATAACACCAGTAGACTAACTATAAATGTTCTGTAAAAGCAACAGCAGCTTTCAGCCTGTCACCATGATGCAAACATGAAATACAGTAGGAGTTCTTTACAGGTTTTTTTATTCGATTGTGCTGCTTTTCCATAGTTTTTTCTGTGTAAACATAGACATGTTTGACTGTTGCGCTCGCGTCTCTTGCAGCGTCTCATGCATGAAACGGCTTTCCAAAAACACTGCGATCAAGTTAAAGGGTTAGTTCACCCAAAAAATGAAAATTCTGTCATTATTTACTCACCCTCATGTCGTTTCAAACCCGTAAGACCTTCGTTCATCTTCGGAACACAAATTAAGATATTTTTGATGGAATCTGAGAGCTGCATAGACAGCAACACAACTGAAATGTTCCCAAGTCCAGAAACGTAGCAAGGAGATCTGTAAAATAATCCATGTGACATCAGGGGTTCAACCGTAATTTTACGAAGCTACGAGAATACTTTGTGTGCGCAAAAGAAAAAAAAGAACGACTTTATTCAACAATTCGTCTCCTCTGCATCACCCTGTAGCGCCATTTTGGAGAATATCCGAAACAAGTTCCTATGTTGTTTGTGCTTTGATTTGAATGAAAACAACATATCCGCGTGATGCAGCTGACACAGAATAGCATACAGCGGATATTCTCCAAAATGGCGCTACAGGGTGATACGGAGGAGACGAATTGTTAAAAATTGTTTAGCAAAAATTGCATGTTTATTAGGGCCCTATGGAATGTTTTATTTTTTCAAACCTTATGTTTTATTGTTACCAAATTCTGTGTTTTAGCATGTCTAATTATTTAAAAGCATAAAAACAAGTTTATTCTTACAATAGCCTTATGATTTTTTTTGTGTACAGTATTAACATTTTTTAAGACATAAAACATTCATTTAATTTATCTTTTAATTAATGAAAATTAAACACATTTTATGTTTGTGTGTGTGCGCGCGTGATACAGAGAGCAGAGCAGAATTGTATATAATAAAAATTAAAATAAATAAAATTATCCTGACCTTCAAGGAAACACTGACCTATATAGCCTATGTATTTATGTAGTCTATGTCATATTTGTACCAGACCTCAAAAGTAACCTGGGCCGAGTCTGGAATACATGTGTGCAGGGCCTAAAATAAAATTAAATAACACTCGGCAAGCACCAAACGCAAGTTAAAATCAGAGTTGGTAAATTTATGAAACAATGTTACTCACTTGTAACTCCTTTATTGATTCTAACAATGCCTGAGAATGCGATATGGTTTAGTGCGATTATCAAACCGTAAAGACTGTGTTGTAATTATATAAATATGTAATCTGATGTGCCTCGTTGTGATATTTTCATGTGAGCCGCTCACGATAGCAGTGTTTTCAATCAAGCGCTGTGAGTTTGTGTCACTCATAACATGCATTTGACAATGCAACATGCACCAAACATCTTTCCATGTTTATAATGACAAGCATTTATACTAGTGTTGTCAATCGATTAACTAATTAATCACACATTTTTCTGAAATTAATCGCGATTAATCCCACCTAACATTAAAGTTTTTAAATATACTTTTATATTGCAATAGTTTCACATTCAATCTTCAAATTAATGTACAAACAACATAAAGACAGTATATATTTTTTAATATTTGTTTAATGGCATCTTTTTTTATGACTGAAGGCCAGTATCACTGATACCAATTATTTAAAAGCATAAAAACAAGTTTATTCTTACAATAGCCTTATGATTTTTTTTGTGTACAGTATTAACATTTTTTAAGACATAAAACATTCATTTAATTTATCTTTTAATTAATGAAAATTAAACACATTTTATGTTTGTGTGTGTGCGCGCGTGATACAGAGAGCAGAGCAGAATTGTATATAATAAAAATTAAAATAAATAAAATTATCCTGACCTTCAAGGAAACACTGACCTATATAGCCTATGTATTTATGTAGTCTATGTCATATTTGTACCAGACCTCAAAAGTAACCTGGGCCGAGTCTGGAATACATGTGTGCAGGGCCTAAAATAAAATTAAATAACACTCGGCAAGCACCAAACGCAAGTTAAAATCAGAGTTGGTAAATTTATGAAACAATGTTACTCACTTGTAACTCCTTTATTGATTCTAACAATGCCTGAGAATGCGATATGGTTTAGTGCGATTATCAAACCGTAAAGACTGTGTTGTAATTATATAAATATGTAATCTGATGTGCCTCGTTGTGATATTTTCATGTGAGCCGCTCACGATAGCAGTGTTTTCAATCAAGCGCTGTGAGTTTGTGTCACTCATAACATGCATTTGACAATGCAACATGCACCAAACATCTTTCCATGTTTATAATGACAAGCATTTATACTAGTGTTGTCAATCGATTAACTAATTAATCACACATTTTTCTGAAATTAATCGCGATTAATCCCACCTAACATTAAAGTTTTTAAATATACTTTTATATTGCAATAGTTTCACATTCAATCTTCAAATTAATGTACAAACAACATAAAGACAGTATATATTTTTTAATATTTGTTTAATGGCATCTTTTTTTATGACTGAAGGCCAGTATCACTGATACCAATACTACTGATATCTCTGAAATTGCCCCCCCCCCTAATATTTAACCATTGACTACAGTCATTCAACATTACAGTATAATTGAGAGCTAACAATTTGAACATTAATAGACTTTAAAAAATAACTTCTATTTATGTGAACTTAAAACAATCTTCACATAAACCCATTATAATAAATGTCACATTTACCTGTGCCCTTCAGCAGAAATATACAGAAATTGAAGTTATCAAACACTAAATTCTAAATTAAATATAGATGAATCCTTAAAGCTATAAAAGTTATTTTTTCCTCTCTTTTTTTCTTTGTCCTTTGGTTAATAGACATCACAGCAGCTGTTTTGGCTGCTATTACTTTAAGAGCTGCCGCTGCTGAACGTAATGCGGATCTGACACTCATCGTATTCTCTCTCAACTCTTTTTACCTTTTCTGACCCACTTCAGGTCTTAAAGTCTCTATTAATGAGCTGACGAGTTAAATCGGGTGTGTTCGATGAGGGTGACAGTGCTGTGCTGCTCCAGGACAGTTTTGAAAACCATTTCAGAGACATGTTTTTAAATGTGACTCATATTTTTATATGGCAGCTATTTTATTTATTTTAAGGCAGCTTTAATCGCCTTTTTGGTAACTTCATGGCTTAACTGATCACGACATTGCATGCACGTAGTTTATTTCGCGCTTTTATATGAAAGGATACAGGCTACTTCTTGTCAAGAGAAAAAGTGACAGGCCCTGTCCCAAATGGAACACTTCATGTGCACTTGCGGTCTTACGAACTTACAATGGCTGTGCATTGTACCGCGTGCACGTATAAATTGGGTTAAATATTTTAAACGCATTAAACTGAAAAAATTAATCGCCTGCGTTAACTCGCTAATTTTGACACCACTAATCGTCTGTCAAGTCCACGAGACCGTAGGGTGTCCCATTTGTCATTTTAACGTTCAGAAGTCGTTATGCGCCCTCGATCCGCACTTCTGCCGAGCCAGCACTGGGGCGAGCGCCACAACAGACTTCTACCCAATAGTCAAAGCGGCATTACGTCACGAAAGTGCGGACTCAGAGGAAGACCGCGAGGGTTTAGGGTGCCATTTGGGACAGGGCCACAGAAGCAGCAGTTGTGAGTGGGGTGACCAACCCTAGCCCCGCCCCTGCGTAAATTGGGTTAAATATTTTTAACGCATTAAACTGAAAAAATTAATCGCCTGCGTTAACTCGCTAATTTTGACACCACTAATTTATACATTTGTTGTCAACAAAAGAGCAGTTCCCCTGTGCCCCCCCCCCAAAAAAAATAAAAGCTCCATGGTTTAACATTTGAAAGCAAAGAAAAAAACATCCATGTATTGTAATTTTACTGTTGTTGTATAAAATAATAATAGTAATAAAATAATGATGATGATGATGATTATTATTATATAAATGTATTATTATTATATAAATGTATTATTATTATTATTATTATATAATTCAGTTCACAAGTATTATAGTGATATTTCATTATTGATTTAACTTTTATAATTTGATTTATTAATAATAATAATAATAATAATATAAAAATTGCAATTAGATGTTTTCCCCCAATTTGTTCTGCCTGTTTTTTAATTAAATAATGCACGTACAGTTTCATGATTGGTAAAAAAAAAAAAAGATGGCTTGTATATTTTCTCAGGTCACTGGTCACTGCCAGATGTGGCATAATGTTAGTTTTTGGCCCTGCGTGTGCATGTGCCCTCACCTGTGTGTGTGTGTGTGTGTGACAGGTGGAGTGAAGTGTCGCGTCAGATCGAGCTGTGGGTCTCCATACAGGAACTGAACGAGCAGGGCGAGTATTCGTCTGTAGAACTTCATCCCAGCAGAGACGTCAGCACTGGAGGAGTGTTTCAGCTACGCCAGGTGAGACTGCAGTCTGCATTTATTAATAAGAGCTGCTGATATTCAGGAGCATGAGCGTCTGTGTGTGTGTTCAGGGTCACTCGCGGAGGCTGCAGGTGAGCGTCCTGCCGGTCCAGCACTCGGGGACGCTTCCGCTGCTGGTGGAGGCCATGCTCTCTGTCTCCATCGGCTGCGTTTCCGCTCGATCCACCAAACTACAGAGACCTCTAGACAGCTATCAGGTCAGTGAGACTGACACAAACACAACACACACGGCAGAGCAATTAGACAATAAGAAAACGTTTTCATTACTTCAAGTGATACAAACATTAACTGAAACGTCTCGGTTATGTATGTAACCCTCGTTCCCTGAAGGAGGGGACGGAGACATCACGTCAGTGACCGACGAATTGGGAACCATGAGTGTAAACTAAACGAGCCAATGCACATTGGCATGCGATAATTGCATCCAGCTGCCGCTGATCACAGCGTGAGCATAAAAAGGCAGCCGGTGCAACACATACCAGTTTTTTCACCGAGGAGCCGAGCCGGTGATCTGGCCACTCAGCGGTGGTACAGCAGCCGTGGCGACGGGACATGACGTTTCCGTTCCCTCCTTCAGGGATCAAGGGTTACATACGTAACCGAGATGTTCCCTTTCATTCAGTCACTCTCAACGTCACAAATGCCTTGGCTTGATGAACCTGCAGTAACGCTATAGCGTGTAAGGCGGAGGCAGCTTCTCCACAAGCCGTATAAGCACCGCCGGTCAGACCAGACGAATGCCTACAGGCCCGGGAGGGGAGCGACGGGTTTCCCCACCAGGAGGAGGTGCTCTTAGGACACAGCTGCATCGCTACCGACCGGTCCACCGGGAGGATCGCCGTATATGCAGCCGAATCTTCCTCTCCAGAGAGCTCTCCCCCCATTGTAGTGATCGACATCCGGTCGTCGGGAGGAGCACTGAAGGATACCGCTGGTACGCTCTTTGAAGAGGGCCCAGCGCGCTCCTTTGGCGGCTCGACTGGTTGCGAAGCACTAGAGGAGCAATGGTCCCCCGAGGGTTGGTTCCCTGAAGGGTTTGCCACCACTGTAACCCTCAGACTACCTGTGCTACTGCCCGAAGTAGTCCTCGCCTGGCTACCGCCAGGACGAACACTAGATCGCGGCAGAGGCAACGGAGCTCGGTCCCCCTGGAGGAAATGGAGCCTGGCCCGCAGCTCCGAGATGGTCATCTTCCCGCAATGGGAACATGACTCATCTGTGAATGCCACCTCAGCGTGTTTAATGCCCAGACACGTGAGGCAGCGATCGTGACCATCACCCGGTGCCAGGTAACGGCCGCATCCAGAAACGCACGGGTGAAATGGCATCTTTAAAAAGATTATCCGTTGTCTTTACCAAGACGCACCCATGTAAGCTCTTTTAGAGAAAAATGCTCTTTCAGGGAAATGCTATTTGCGCAACCCACTCGACACAGGAATGACCACCGCTGAAGCGCCGTCCACCAACACAAGAAGCTCCCTAGAGCGCGCTAGACTCGTCACACACGAAGCAGTTGGTAGAAGCAGAACGATGTTGTCGCTAGGCTCCGAAGCAAAAAGCTCTATGCGTTGCACCGGATGCCATTTTATGCTCACGCTGTGATCAGCGGCAGCTGGATGCAGTTATCGCATGCCAATGTGCATTGGCTTGTTTAGTTTACACTTGAAGTAGATCGGTGTCTCTAAGCGAGATCCCAGTTCGTCGGTCACTGACGTGACGTCGAGAGTGACCGACTGAAAGGGAATGAGGGTTATTCTAGTTAAATAAAACTAAAATTAACAGCATAAAAAAAATGTTACTTGAAATAAAATAAATGTTAGCTGAAATAAAAATAAAAGAAAAAATATATATATATATATTTAAAAACGTAAATGCATTTTAATTCTTTCCCAAGGAAACACTTCTCATTTTCATTTAGTTTAGCTTGATAACTAAAATTACTACAACTAAAATGGAAATAAAAACTATATAGACATATTTTTTAAAAAACTAATGAAAATTATTTTAAAAAACATCCCTAAAACCTTATTAAAATTTAAAATAGATACAGAAGATATACAAATAAAACTAATTCAAACTATTAATAAAAACCACAATAGTATCTCATTGATACTAAAATAACACGGACTGAAGTCAAATAAAATATTAAAAACCTTAAACTTACTTTATTTGAACTAGTTGTATAGTATAATTAATAGTATATAAATATTAATTAATATATTTATTTAATTTAAAGTAGATTACATATTTTCATGGTTCAGTACTTTTTTTAGTTTTGTAATAAAGTTCAGCAGTGTTTCAGTTTTCATTCAGCATCCATTATCGATTTTCTTTTATTTATCGGTTATCGGTTATCGGTGTGGTCCAACTTCGTTATCGTTATCGGTAAAATGCACAAGCGTTTGGAGTGTGAATGTGAGTCCGTCAGCGGATCTGAGTGTGTGACAGGCTGTATTCTCTTCAGCAGAGGGAGGAAGACGCTGATATGGATAGTTATCAGGTATTCTGCTGATCATGTGCTTCAGACAGGAGTGTGATGAAATTAAGATCATAATCGTCCATTAATGAGGCTGATATTATAATCTCACTGAGAGATTCCTGCACTAACACACGGCTGTCTTCACCGGTCACGTGATCAGTGCATGGCTGCATGATTCTGCATGTTTACGTGCGTTTGAGCCGCTCTAGATGGAGCTGCGTACAGTATAAGCGCTTCATCTGTCTGAAAACGCCACACTGGATTTAATATCCCTTTATTAATTCATTCATCTGTGTGTTTATTCTGATGTTGTGTAAGTATCGAATCTTGATGCTTGGCTCCAAATCTGCACCTGACACCTTGTCTACACTGGATTACACTGAAATCTGTTATTTTATTATTGGCATAGTGCATAATGTAATGCATACAAAAGATTATTTAAATCAGACCAGAAAGCAGGAATATTTTGAACTGACCTTGATCGAATGTTCAGATGTTACTGAAATACTCAGTGAATAAAATTCAAAATCATATAATATAATAATATAAAGAGACAAAAAAATGTAGAATTTTGAAACTTTTTTTTTTTTTACAAAATGTTTTAATTTAAAACAAGTTTAAATAAAAATAGATTTAAATAAAAAAGATAAAACCAAGAAATAAAGAAAAAATCATTATGCATGCTGTAAAATGACATAACTGTATTTCATATAATTTATAGCATATTATGGTTTGGTTTTTTATTTTATTATTTAAAGATCATGTCATTAGATTAGTTTTGTGATCGTGTCTTGTCTTGTGACTGGTTCAGACAGAGATGATCCCCCTTTTTAAACTAAATAATAAATATTGATATATATATATTGAATATTATCAAAAGGCTGAAAAATATAGAACATGTTAAAAATTTAATGAAAATGTTTTAAATATGTTCTGTATTATTCTATATGTTCTATATTATATGTATATTATTTTATTGCATTTTTTATGTGCATAATAATAAACATTTTGTATAATAATTGTATATGTATTTTATATAATGTGCATATTAATAATTTAATATTTATTTTATGTAATATATTTTTGTAATATGTATAATGATAATAACATTATATAAATGAAACATTTTCTTTTTTTAATGTTGTATATTTTTCAGCCTTTTGATGATATTCAATATATTTCTCAGTATTTATCTATAATAATAATAATATTTAATATACCAATAGTTTATATTGGTCCATATTTGTGAGCCTGCAGCACAAAAGCAGTGTTAAGTCGCTGGGGTATATTTGTAGCAACAGCCAACAATACATTGTATGGGTCAAAATTATAGATTTCTCTTTTATGCCAAAAATCATTAGGGTATTAAGTAAAGATCTAAAGATATTTTGTAAATTTCCTACTTTAAATATATCAAAACTTAATTTTTGATTAGTAATATGCATTGCTAAGAACTTCATTTGGACAACTTTAAAGATGATTTTCTCAATATTTAGATTTTTTTGCACCCTCAGATTCCAGATTTTCAAATAGTTGTATCTCGGCCAAATATTGTCCTATCCTAACAAACCATACATCAATGGAAAGCTATTTATTCAGCTTCCAGGTGATGTATAAATCTCAATTTAAAAAAATTGACCCTTATGGCTGGTTTTGTGCTCCAGGGTCACATTTTTCAGCCTTCTGATGATATTCAATCAGAATCTCATCAGATTTATTCACAATCTCATTTTTTATATAATTAGGCATAAAAAATATATTAAACAATAGTGTTGACATTTGGCATCATGCCGCTGGTGTTTATTGTAGACACGGTGTGAGATGGATTGATCAGTGGGATCAACTTCAGATGGGATCTTCAGATTATTTTCCACTCGCTTAAAGTTTTTGACATATTTTCTGTCTCAAACGAGCCTTAATGGCCCATTGACTGCAGCGAATCTGAGCTCTGTATGTGGTTCTGCAGGAGGAGGATCTGAACTGTGTCCGGGAGCGCTGGTCTGACGCTCTCATCAAGCGCAGGGAGTATCTGGAGGAGCAGATCAAGAAGATCATCAATAAGTCAGGTTGGTGTTTGACGCATGTGTTGGTGCTGCTGATCTGATGCAGCTGCTGCTGTAGTAGTAGTAATATCTTTATTTGTCCCTTCACAGGGCAATTTATACAGCGTCAACCTCACAAACAGACAGATTTTATAAGACATCATGACGAAAACCGATAGAACAAAAACATCACATCAAATACAACCACAACAAAACCCGAGCATTAACAGTGCACCATTTTTTCATATATAATGTTAAAATTCATGGTACACCTTTATCTTTATGTTTCAAATAATTGTTTACAATCAAGACTGCATTTGAAACAAAAGATCTAGAAGCTCTAACAGTCCTCCACTTGGGCACGATATCGTCTGCTTGAAGGAAGCAGTTCAAATTCTGAATACAAAATGTGAGATGCGTCATCTAAGATAGTCAAGGACTTCCTAAGAACAATTTCTCGCACAGAAACTGTACAGAGCCTGTAATCTTTGACCCCAAATTAACAATGCTCTGCAGCCAGGATCTACTTTTAACATTTAAGTTAAAAATACTTCAACACAATGTTAGATTTTAAAATGTAAATAATTTAAAGGAAATACAATATTAATAAAATTAATATTTTCTGCTACATTTATTTAACTTAAGTATTAAGACTTTTTAACTAAAGACATTCGCATTAGATGCACTTTATTGTAATAGTCATTTGTTTTTTGTAAAAATAAAAATACATTTAAAATAAAATAATAGTAAAAAACACTGTTATATTTTAAATTTGAAATCATATTAAATGAAAAGAAATATAATAAATTCAGACATTCTCATTATTTGCATTAGATTAACTTTACAGTAATTCTTTGTCAAAATAATATTACAATAAAATAAAATATCAAAAATTAAATAATAAAAGTAAAAACACTATAACACTGTTATATTTAAAAATTGAAATCATATTAAATTAAAGGAAATACAATATTAATAAAATGTATATTTTATGGTACATTTATTTAGCTTGAGTATTAAGACTTATTTAACTTAAGTAGGCTTTAGACATTCTCGTCATTCTCAAAGTATAATATTTATTTTAAATGAACTACAAATAAAAAATAATAACATAAATTAAAATGTAAATATTTGCTCAGTTATTACATTAATTTTAGTGCTGTCAATCGATTAATCGCGATTAATCGCATCCAAAATAAAAGTTTTTGTTTACATAATATATGTGTGTGTTCTGTGTATATTTATTATTTATATATCAGTACACACACATATAGTATATGTTTCAGAAACATGTGTTATGTTTATATATTAAATATATTTATATATAATATAAATTATATGAATATAAATATATACATGTAAATATTTTCAAAATATATACTGAATATGTATGTGTTTATACATATATATATATAATAAATATACACAGAACACACACATATATATATTATGTAAACAAAAACTTTTAGTTTGGATGCGATTAATCGATTGACAGCACTAAATTAAATTAAGTGTTTTATGTTGTGTTGTTGTTGCTCAAGGGTTCCCCCTGCTGGCAT